CTGCTCCTGCTGCTGCTCCTGCTACTACTGCTACTGCTAATGCTTCTGCTTCTGCTTCTGCTTCTGCGTCTACTACTACTACTACTACTACTACTACTCCTCCTGCTACTACTACTACTACTACTACTACGACGACGACGACGACTACTCCTACTGCTATTTCTACACCTATCACCCACTCTTACAGGCGCTGGGCAGGCACAGGCTGGGTTATCACAGACTGATTAAAAGTTCAAGAGACATTAATTGAACAAGTTGATTCCAAGATTGACGGAAAATTGATGACACAAAGCTTTACTTTTTGAAGCTTTTCCCCACATCTTTTTCTGACTGCTTGGCGTCCGTCGCCCGCCCCGCCTTCCTTCCGCCTTCCTTCTGCCTCCTCCATCCACCCTCCTCCCGCCTCCTCTTGCTTTGGCTTGTGTGTTGCTGCTACAGATTTGAAGCTCTTTGCCATGGGAACGCTACTTGCAGATCAGCCTTAGCTTGAAAATTGATCCACGCAACGCGAAATGCGCGGTTAAATGTGCGGTTCACGAATCGACCGTGACCAGCTGCATTGACTTTGAATGTGCATGGCAAATGAGCTCAAAACAGTCATGCTTCATGCTTTTCGGTCCCGTGCGTCCGCGCCGTCTCGTCTGTGTCGTCCTCGCGTCCTGCACGCGCTTCCTCCCGCGGCACTCACGCCTCACCCATTCACTCTTCTCGCTTACCTTTCGCTCATTTGCTCTCACTCGCTCTGTTTTTGTAATTGCTGCCAACCCTTTCGCTAAAATACGCATGTGGGGATATCCGGTCCTTTGATGGAAGCGGGAGGGGGAGGGGGTGGAGGGAGGGGGAGGAGGCGGGAGGGGGAGGGGGGAGGCCATCAATGCGGAAAATTTCTTTTGCAGAGACGAAGAGCGCGAGGGGCGTGAGGATAGCTTGGCTGAAAAGCACCACCTTGCAGCTTAAGGGTTTTTCGGCGGGCAGCTTTACTGGTGCTGTTGCCGTCCTCGGTCTCAGCCGGGTATAGTGCACCGCTCCGCGATGCCGCCAAAGCTGGTCCGGGTTGCATCTTGAAAATGTTGCTGGCGGCGCCGCTCAGGCTCCATGAACTCATCATGGAGGGAACATGCTTTGCCCTTAGAATCCGGAGGAGCAAGTCCGGTTGCATGTTCGATGCAACTGGCAGAGAGGCAGCCTTGTGTGGCTTTCAGGGAATGATAGCGAGCTCTTCGGCAAGACCGGTCACAGCTTTAGACCTGACACACTCCCTGCCGGCCGATGTCAATGTGAGTGAAACCAGGCCGACTCCGTTGCTTCCAGAGCACACAGAGCAGCCGGGAAGTGGGTGGGAAGTGGGTGGGAAGGGAAATCCAGCTTTTCCCTAGGAAATTGAAAACGTTGAATAAGAATGAATATACTTGACAAAAGTTCATCTCAGAGGACATGACAGCTTCACTCCGCACAGCTCCGTATTTCTTCCAGCACAGCGGTCGACTCAGGTCTTCTCCTAGTGAAGAGCTCCTCGCACACAAGGGGCAATTGCATTGGTAACACCGGGTCACTCCCGGGTCCTCTCACAGGATCGAAATCGGTCCATACATCTGATGCACATCAGAGGACCTCGACTCTCCCAAAAAGGACGCATGGACCACATGCAGTCCCGAGTACCTGCTTAAAAGGAAAAGGTACTATCCTAGGACACGGGCGATTTTGCGGGTGAGTGGGCGGGTGGGCAAAGAGCATGTACCGACTGTCAGTTTGGCTCTAGCAGACGGCTCAAGCCAAAACGTCACATAGGTACATGGTCAGCTCAGAAATGTTACATGTGTACCCAGGCCTACCAAACTCGACACATGACCACATTTCAGAGGACATGACAGCTTCACTCCGCACAGCTCCGTATTTCTTCCAGCACAGCGGTCGACTCAGGTCTTCTCCTAGTGAAGAGCTCCTCGCACACAGGGGGTAATTGCATTGGTAACACCGGGTCACTCCCGGGTCCTCTCACAGGATCGAAAACGGTCCATACATCTGATGCACATCAGAGGACCTCGACTCTCCCAAAGCACTCTGACACTCCCAATGCACTTCACTAGAGAAACTCGAAGACCTTCACCGCGGCCCCCAGGGTCAGTGCCCAGAGCTCGAACGGGAAGTGAGCTGAAAATGTGGAGAAATGGTTGGCCTGGTGCCATGAATCTGAAGAGCCCTCACGGCTGATCGCATCGATCCAGTTCGATTTGGAGAGTACCCATTCCCAGTACACCCAGCACTGGTATGTAAATAGGATGCGCGAGTATGCGCGGGCATGCGCGAGTCTGCGCGAGTACGCGCGGGTATGCGAGATTATGCGTGAGTATGCGCGGGTATGTGCGAGCGTGCACGAGCATTATAATCACTATATAGTACATGAGATACTGTATACTGCTGTTGTACATTGTAGTGCCACTCCGGCGTACGTCAGCATATTGGAGCATACTCGAGCGTACTCGACTCGAGCGTATGCGCGAGTACTCGGAGTGCAGTCGCCCATCGTGTCCGCATTCAATGGGAGGTTGAAGCGAGGCTGGACTTCAGCTGCGCGGATAGGGGCCTGCCACAAGGTGTGCTGGTCACGGTTGAGCTCAGCGTCCATCGCAGCCATTCCATCCTTATCAGCCTTTATCAGTGCCGACTGTGGGATAACATCCCACGATTTAAAGCCCAGAAGCCCTCCCACCGCAGCACAGAGGATATGCTTCCTCCGCACTGTGTGAGGTTGTAAAACGGGCAGAGCTGTATTGCAAAGCCATCGAGTTCTCCTGCTGACTGCGCTTGCCCTTGTCTTGCCAGTCCCCAAGCGCCAGCTGATTGTCAGGGCTCCAGCCGGCAAGCTGTGCATACGTCGGACCTACCCGACGAAAAGAATAACTCGACAGCTCGCAGACTTCCTGCCCGGCGCCGGAGTGAACACATCCTGCGCCAGCCTAACTGCCAGTGCCGCGGAGTACGGGACACCGAACTCGTTGAATGCGATGCCCGAGTGAGCCTGGGCCCCTGTCTGGAGCTCCCTCCAGTCGGCAAGCCATCGGCTGCCCCAGTCCCACCCCGAGATGAAAAACCCCGGAAGCGGAAACCTGAACGCACCGTTCTCTGCTTCCCCTTGACACAGTGGAAGTGGAAGGTCGACTTGGATAACCTGATCGGCCTGGACCTGTCAACGTGCACAAACCTAAGCACTCCGAAAGCGCGCCCGCCAACCAGGGTCCTTCGCCTCGTACCTCTGCTGAATAGCCCTCGCCAGGATCCTGACCATAGGTGGTTCCAGTACAACTGCTTGCTTGGGCTCGCGGTGCACCTCCTGCTTGAAACTGTAGCCACTGAGGTCGTAGCCAAGCCCACCTGCATTGGCAAGCCACTTGGGCCCCGCCAATGCCCGTGATTGTGCTCCTGTGCCTCCAAAAAGAAAAGCATCCAGGTTCACATGGTCGGGGTGAAATCTCTGCCCCGATCAGCCATGTGCACTTGCACCTCAAGCTGTTCCCCGCTCGGGCCCTCCTCGGCCCTGCTGCTTCTCCACCACCTGGCACGCCTGTTGGGTGCACGCTGTTCGACGGCCTGTGCCACATCGCCAAAGAGGCTTTGCTGATCGCCGGCCCTCACGGAGGCCCACTCCTCCGTCGTAGCATTGGCCCTGCTTTCAAAGGCATAAGCAAAGCCCCGATCATCCTCGAAACCGTGCTGCTGACGCCACTGTGTAGCTCTCTGCCTAGACATCTCGCCCAAAGCTGTCTAGGCAGACTCCGGAGCCGAAGCCGCCGACAAAGACTCGGCAGCATACACTCCCAGATGGCCCGGCATGGTTAAGAAGGCAACACCTGCCCCCAACACTTGGAGCCCAAATCTGAAGAAAAGCCCCCAAGTCCGCAAGCACCGCCGCGGAGCAAACTGAAACGAAAAGAGGCTATGCAAACCCACGGTCGTGCCAAGGCCACTCCCGACCTGACTTGCCAGGATCGCGAAGCCACGCCTGCCGGGAGGGATTGGCTCATTTTGCAGGGGCACCACCTGCTGCCTCCGCCCACCAGCTCATAAGCATCAATGCTTCGGCCCAGCGTGGCGCATCCTTCCACCGGTCTCCTGGCATAAGGTCATAGACTGCACGGGCCGAACACTCCGAGTCGACAACAGGCTTGTAAGGAGAGCTGCTTCTCCGTAATGCACCTTCGGAGTCCGGGAGGCTAAGGTCCGGCTGCGGAACCTGAGCTCACCATTTTGCCACACTCGGCAGGCGTCGAGCACATCTGATACCCGTGCTCCTGGGCGATCATGCAAGGAACTGAGCTCCCCTGCATAGACGGCCCTGAAGAGGGGAGCTGGCACGATTTCTTCAGATTGGAGTCCAGACCGCGCCGGGCTTCAAGCTGATTCAAGCCTCCATGGGTCCTGTGCCCGCTGCGGGTACCACCAAGGTCCTTGACCAC